TGATGAACCTATAGAACATTTTCTGTAATAATTTGTTTATGCTATATTCACGTAAAATATTACAAGTTAACAGTTTGAAAAACACAAATCTGAAAGTATTTTTATTTCAGAAAATAATAACTTTGAATTAAAGACAGGAATATAACGAATTTGTTCTAATAAAATACCAATAGTTGTTTTAGCTGGTATTGAAGGTTAAATGTTAACAATTTAAAAAAAAACTTGAAATTTATCAGGATTGATAAAGCCTGATTGATAAATACTCTATTATATAGCAACTATACATACGATATAATAAACATTTATTTACTGAAGTCAATTTTCATTTATAAATGAGATGTAAACCAATTCATTAAAAATACAATTGCATTTATAGATTTGCTATTTAGTCATGTTTTTAATTTTGACAACACGATTTCAGATGTTGAAAATAATCATTTGCCGTTGAAGTTGGCTTCAATGATAGAAGTTCGTTACATAGTAAAATCATATTTTTCAATATTGGAAATTCTTTGTTTAAAGAATTAAAATTTCCCCATTGATTGGCATTATAGAATATTGGCTTTTTTGTATTGCTTAACTCAACTCATTGGATACTGATATTGATCAAGGTTTGGCATCAGACTCTTGTTCTGTATAAATACATAAAATTTCTTCTTCACCATTAATTTTTTCAGTATTTGCTTGTGCTGGAAATAACCGTTTTATTAGATCTTTGGCACATGCTAATATTACATTTCTCGGTGAATAAAGAAACCCTGTAATTTTTTTTATGAAGATAAGTTATGCAGAAACATTAAAAGTTTTGGTTTATTTTATATCTGGTTTGTACGTTTAGTAAAACCTCTTGGAAATTTAAGCTTAATTTCAGAGTATCCTTCAGTCAACTTTTCCATTAAAAGTATGGGAATTGTTATGCGTGTTAGTAATGTGACATCTTTTCTGCTAAATGCTTTAATAGCAACTTTTAAAGGACGCAAAGCTGCAACATATCCTTTAGATTATCTCTTATTATACTAACTTTCATTTTAAGTTCTTGTTTCACAAACGGTTGTAAAATGCTATTTTTTGCAAGTGACCGTCTAAAAAAATTTTTAAAGTTTCTTTTATTGCCTGTTCGTAACGAGCTATTAAAGAAATTCGAAAAGTTGTGGTCGAAAAGTTGTAACAGGTCATTTAAACATGCGTTTTATGCAAAAACAATAGTTTTAATAAAAACCATTATCATAAGTAAGCGACATTTCTAATAATTATTGACGTCTTATAAAATTAAAACATTTTATTGTAATAAAATGTTTTTTATGCTAAATCATGAATTAATATCAAACGTCAAGTATTCGACGAATAATGATAATTAATATTCGAATATTGAATACTAAATATTTTTCAATATTTTTATTCAAATAGTATTCAAAGAATATATTCGGGATTGTACAGAGCGTTAAACCCGAAGTGCAATGCATAAGCCAAGAGCAATTGCTGATGCGTTATATATTTTGACAATACAGATAACCAATGTTGCACACAAAATACTAACAGTGGATGAATTGGAAAAGTTTAATCAAGTATATTTTACGATGAAGCTTTTCATAAGTGTTATGTATGTCTCATGGTTCCTAAAGAGTAGAATAGAAGCCTTTGCTACAAGATGAGACCAATCATGATTAATATTTGATGTCACACTTTGTATTTAAACAACTATTTAGACGTGTCTGAAACCAAAAAGTTAAAAATGATGAAAAATTTGCTTAAGAATGTTAAGGCAGAAATATTCAGAGGTGGTAAATCATAAAGGAAAATCATTTTTTAGCAAAATAAAGGAAACTAGTTTTTTTTTCTTTCTATGAAAATAGTTTTTTTGTTTTTGTTTTTTTACAAAGTACTATTATCCATATAAAGTGAAATTAAAATGAAAAAAATCATAAAATTTGACCTAATCCTGTTATACATGACCTTTGGTAGGTAAGACCTTAAACATGATTATTTTGATATAGATAAGAAAGATTGTAAAGTGGATGAGAGGGGAGAGGCGTCTTAAATTTTAGGGCTTTTTTTGTTCCCAGGCTTTAGTTATCACAATATTTTGAAAAGCATTTTTTATTTGACATAAGTATTTTCTCCATTTCTAGTTAGCTAGCTCATACAAAAAGTTAGCTGTATCAAACACAAAAAAAAGCGAATTTTCTTGGGTAGGCTAACTAGAGGACACAATTAAAGGTTGCGAAGGCAGTATGTTCAAAACTTTTTGCCGAGGCATCATTTCTTCACGAACCGTATAGTTGAAAATTGGAATCGTTTGGACAGTGAAGTTGTTAACGCTAATTTAGTAATTGATTTTAAAAATAAACTTAAAAAGTTTAGCGAAAAACAGTTGTTAAAATGTAACATCTACAGTTGTTAGATTCTTTCTTGAGACTCTCAAGAACACAGCTTCAGTTATTATTATTATTATTAATAATAATAATTTTTATTTTATTACAACCTCTTTTAAATCATAGTAAGCAATTACGCAAATTTAATTTTAATTGTAAGCAAAATATAAAAAAAATTTTTATTCGCAGATTTATAAATTTTAGCAAAAACTAAAATAGCTGTTTAACTTTTATAAAAATCAGCGCGCAAAATGAAAATTATCTACTACTTTAAAGAGACAATCCCATTGTAAAAAAAAAAAAAAAAAAAAACTCATAAACGAGGTGGAACGGTTGCAAAGAAATATTGAGGGAAGCGGAACGGTTTCTTAATTTGTCGGCTAAGAATGAACGACGTTCCTTTGCGTTTATCCCCCCCCCCTAATTTAACCCCTGACTTTAGCCACAAAGAGAGAATATATACTTAGAAGTATCCTTTCCTGTTAACATTAGAACAATGTTGTCTATGGTCGATATGATTGGTAAACAAACGCTCTTAGATTTATAACAGTTAGGTTTCCCGCAAAAAAACAGATTTTAGAGTAAAATTTTTTTTGGTTCTTTGATGCAAATTTCATGTGAATTATTCAGATCTTAATTAGGAACTCTGACAGAGTTGGTTAGTACACTTAGTTAGTTAGTACACTTTTTTTTTAACGCTTAAGAACGTAATTGTCCAAAATCTCCTTAATATAATTGTAATGATTACTTCATAACAATTCCTGATGAAAAGTTATTAAAATTTTGTCAGTTTCTATTTGCACAATCGTTAACTAAAGATTGATCTACAATAGTCACAGTTACCCCTGAAAAAGTTGCACTTGTAGCTGCAAAAAAAGGAACAAGGGTGAAGAAGCTTACAAAAAAAGACAATCAATATAAATATTCTAAGGAAAAACATCTAATAAAGCAATTTTTCAAGAAAAACTGATAGGTTAATCTTAAATATTCTGTTGAAAAGCCTTGAACCCTTTCTTTAACTTACTACTACCCTAAAGTAGAATGGGATTTCTTGATTTTCTTTGTGACGCTCCTTGGGCTATTGTTTTTCTTCTTTCCGCAATAAATGCGCCTCCTACGTAACCCTGGATCCAAGTAGAAATGAAAGCTTTTATTTTTTTTCGTCGGTTCAAAGCCAAGCCTCATTTTACCCATGACTCTTGAATCTTATGGCTTTACTCTTTCTTTTATTCCATTGAAACAGGTTAACCCATTGTTAGACATTCCAATCACTCTAGCTTCTGTTGTTAAAGTATATCTCAAATAAACTCTTCTACAACTTGTGGTCAAGACAACATTCCTGCCATAGTCTTACAAAAGTGTTCACTAGAACTCTCTATAAATATTTTTAAACTATTTTATAAGTGTTGACTGAATCTTGTTTTCCCGCCTGCTGTTTTCCCGCCGCCTTGGTTCTAATTTTTAAAAAACCTGATGAACATTCTGACCCCTCCAATTATTGTTCAATCAGTTTTTTATCTGTTATTAACAAAGTTTTTGATTGATTGGTCAACAAATTTCTAACATCCCATCTTGAGTCAAACAACAAACTATCAGACAATCAATATGATTTTTGATCTTCTCGCTCTACGGCTGACTTGCTAACTCCTGTGACTGAACGATTTAATCTTGTAATATATGGAGGAGTTTGAGGCTGAGGCTTTTGCTCTTGATATATCTAAAACTTTTGATAAGATTAGGTATACTGGTCTTCTTTATAAGCTTGATTCATGTGGTGTATCTAGGAAAGTTTTTGAGATTATCAAGTCTTTCTAATCGCTTTATTAAAGTCATCCTCGAACACTCTACTTCATTTCCACTAAATTCTGGGATACCTCAAGATTCTACCCTAGGTCTTGTTTTGTTTTCTATCTACATCAATAATCTTCCTAACAGCTTATATCCAATGTAGCTCTATTTGCTGATGACTCAACTTTTTGATGACTTTTCTCTTTTTAATCGCTTAGAACAGGCAGTTAATCTTGAATCTAATCTCACTTCTGTAACAGATTGGGCCTTGCAATAGCTTTTAAATTTAAATTCCAACAAAACTCAATTATATACTACAAATAACTATTGTAATATTGCCAATATTCCTACATTGATGAATGGCTACCCTCTCATTAAGCCATCTTTTTTAGGTCTTCTTAGATTATCAGTCACTACAGACCTCTCATCTATATACAATCAATTGCTAAGCATATTTTTTTTCTAACAGCGCTCTTTCTCTTCTAGACAATTTCCACAAACGCATTGTAAACGTAGTTGGATCTGTTCTACCTGCCGAGTTATAGTGTCTTTTTTCTACAATTACTATCATGGTTGTTGCTCAAAGGAGCTATCATCTTTAGTTCCAAAAACCAAAATTTATTTGCGCTTGACTCGTCATTCAGCAAAGTCTCATCTTTATAGAAATATAAAAAAAAATTCAAATTTGCATGACATATCGTAATAAAGAAATATTAAATGATCTTACACAAATTTTCTATTGAATAATATACTTGAAAATCAAACTAAGGAGTCGCGTGCTGCTTAACTACTGCATTCTTATCACGAATTTTAAAATTAGTTTCAACTTTTTTGAAAACATTAGAAATTGCCGTTTTGGTGTTACTCTTATTCAGTTGTCGTGGTTAGTTTGGGTTGTTGTAAATTAGTATATCGTCGTCCGTCAGGTAATGTCTTCAAGAAGTTTAAACTAATTAACTTACTAACTTTAAAAAGAATAAAAAAATGAATAACCAAATGATAAGTTTTGTTTCAAGAAACATATCGAGTTTGTTAATTTTTAAAAAATTTTAATACTTGAGTGTTTTACCAAAAGATGCGCGTGTATAAGAATTAAAAAAAACAAAACAACAACAACGCATATTTGGTACATAGGAGGTATTAACTGACAGACAACGATATATATATATATATATATATATATATATATATATATATATATATATATATATATATATATATATATATATATATATATATATATATATATATATATATATATATATATATATATATATATTATATAAACAAAAAATACCTTTTTTTAACAATAGTAAAGTTAAAATGGAGGAAGATGAAGATATTCCGATTGAATTGACAATTGATCATCAAATGTTAATTAAAATAGAAATGGAATTGCAAGACCTTTTATTTAAGATTGAAAATGAATATACCACAGTTGATAGTTTTGATGAAGCTATTAACAAAGTACGGCATAAAATTGCTGCATTTAAAGTTGCTTTTGCAAAGTTTGAACAAGCTGCTCTTGAGTTTAATGATATCATTAACTTTGAAAAAAAAATTTTACCTATCGTAAATGGACACCAGTCATTTTTATTATCACTTCAAAAATGTTTTCAAAAGTCTTCTATAAGTGGTCAAAATCGAATAATGAGTATTACAAAAACAGAGTTGTTAGGGAATACACAAGAAACTTATTTAAAGCAAAGGAAGAAAAGCGGAAAAGCAGAATCTGTAAAGACCTCTACTGATATCACTGAAAATCTTTTGAATATAGCACGGATCATGGACAGCCAGATAAAACAAGGAGAAGCAACAAATGCTGCTCTTAGCAATTCTTCTACAATGATTGTAGAAACACACGAAGAGTTTAAAGGACTTACTGGCATTGTGAATATGTCCCACAAACTTTTAAATAAGTATACTCGTCGTGAAATGACTGATACATTATTGATATTTTTTGGTTTAGTATTATTTTTTGCAACAGTTTTGTATGTTATTTCTAAAAGACTTTGATAATTATACATATATATGTATATATATATATATATATATATATATATATATATATATATATATATATATATACATATATATATATATATATATATATATATATATATATATATATATATATATATATATATATATATATATATATATATATATATATATATATATATATATATATATATCTGTGTGTGTAAGATAAAAGAATAAATAAATTTATAATAGAAACTTTAAACAAAGTTATTTTTTCACTGCCTGATAAGCACTATTTTAAAATTAATTTGGCTTGTATTGTGCAGAATTATCAAAGTATTGTGTGGTACTAAAATGCATATAAAGAATTATTTTTATGATTTCGTGTTATTTTTTCAATTTTTTTTATAAGATTCTTTAATTAGGTGTTTTAAAGTATAGTTAAATATCTTATTTCTTTTAGAGTAATAGTATAATGGCTAGTTCTCAGTCCAAACTAGAATATCTTAAAAAATACATTGATAAACCTGAATCTTCTAAAAAGAAAAAGAAAAAAAGCGAATCAAAATTTAAAATAATAGATCATCATATTTCACTTAATGATATAGGTAATAACTCAGATGAAGATGTTGCAATATATGACACTCAAGAAGAGAAGCCATTATTGTTAACTAATGATGGATTAAATGTTATCACGAAAGAGTATTCAGAACAACAAAATAAAAATAAACTAAAATGGGCTCCATTAGCAACTGATATTGATAATGGTGCCCAAAGAAAAAGACACGATTCTAGTGGTAGTGATTTATCTCCTGCTAGAAAGCAGCAGAGACATGACTCCAGTTGTTCTGATCAATCACCTCCTCGTAAACAAAAGTATACCAATGATTGTGATAGTGATTCTGATTTATCGCCTGTAAGACTGAGAGAAAAAAGTGATAAAGAAAGTATGAATTTTTCACCTCACAGAAAAAATAAGAGGAAAAATGACAGTGACTCTGATTTGTCTCCTGCAAGAATAAATGAAAAAACCATTTCTGATAAAAATACAGACACTAAAAAACGTTCTGGACTTCAAAGCAGAGAGGAATTGCAAAAAGAAAATGAAAGTAAGCGAAAAAATGAGGAAAAACTTTTCAATAATATGAGCACATCAGTTTCTGGAAAGGATGCCCAAACAATTTATCGGGACCAAAAATCTGGAAAGAAAATTGATTTAAAAGCTGAGGAGATTAAAAAAAAATTACAAGAAGAAGAAAAGATGAAAGACTTAAAAAAATATGCTGAATGGGGTAAAGGAGTAACACAAGGAAAAGATTATAAACAAAAACTAAAAGATGATGTTAAAGAGATGCAAAAGCCTCTTGCAAGGTATAAAGATGATAAGGATCTGGATGATCTTTTAAGGAATAAATCGCGTGATGAAGATCCTATGCTTAATTATATTATTAAATCAAAAAGTAAAAACAAAATCCAAAAACCAAAGTATAATGGTCCTACACCACCTCCAAATCGTTTTAATATATGGCCTGGTTATAGGTATGATGGTGTAGACAGATCAAATGGTTTTGAAAAGCGAAGGTTTATGGAAATTAGTAAGCGGAAATCTTTTGAAACAGAGAAATATAAATGGAGTGTTGAAGATATGTAGAAATATTTTTGAAATATAAAAATTTTTGTTTAATATAAAAGATTATTTTAAATTGGGCTGAGAGTTTTTTTTGCCATTATTAATTTGTGCTATTTGTTTAGTTTTTATTTTAAATATTTTTTGTGTATATATATATATATATATATATATATATATATATATATATATAAATATATATATATATATATATATATATATATATATATATATATATATATATATATATATATATATATATATTTAATTAATATATATGTATACAACTGTGAATGCATGTTTAGATAAGTACTGTGATGTCACACTGAAATAGCCTGCTGCCAAGGGCTTCAGTACATATATCTTAAAGCCAGCTGCCGCAAAGGAGTGCAGCTAAATGGACTAAGGGTTTGGCATGGCTTTTTTCTTTCATTATTCTTTGTTTTATATATATATATATATATATATATATATATATATATATATATATATATATATATATATATATATATATATATATATATATATATATATATATATATGTATATATACATCTATACATACAGTATGTAGACCCTGTATATATATAGGGTCTATTCTATAAAAGTAATTTGGACAGCT